TGTGCAAAGGCGGTCCCTGCGGCTGGGCGTGAGCAGGCCCTACCCCGTCTCTGCTGTCGCCGGCCCGCGATGGCGCTCAGGGCTGCAGCCGGCGGGCACGAGGACCCCTCCTCGGTGGTTCAGCCCGGCGGTGAGGGTTCCCCGTCCCGTTTCCAGGGAGCCTCGGGCTCTGTCCGATTTCCCTCGTGAAAGGGGTTCATTGTTTAAGGAAGAGAAACCTGCCAAGCCACGGCTCTTTCTTCAAAATTTACTCCCGTAATTATTCAAAACAGTTTATACATAGGCATCTGTGTGCTGTGGTTTCCGCCGTTCTACTAATTTGTCTGTTTTATTCTTGAAACCTTTTCAGCAGTTTATGTACTCGCCTTTCATCTTAAGTTTACTTTATGAACTCCTGGCTAAGGGCCATCCCTACCTGGTCTTCAGGGGATACTGCAATGCCCAAGAGAAAAAGATGAACAGATAACACCAGCAAATCACTGCTTATGTTTGTCTGGCATAATAGTTACGGAATTAGTCTTGGATTGTACTGTAGGATTTTACTGCTAATTTGCTATTGGGAAGGGGATATTGCTGAAGCATGCAAAAATGGGTGAACTTTAACTCCTGAACGTGAAATGTTTTGTTTCCCCTTTCTAGGAGGAAACAATATTGGGAAATGGCAGAAGCAGTTTTTCACCCCCCAAGAAGGAAAAGAAGAGTTTTTGAGTCATACGAGTCTCCCTTTCCTGTGAATGTAGGTGGGAAGGATTTCAGAATATGCCAGGCTGAAATCATTAACAACAACGTTATTGTGAGGAACCCTGAAGATATCGAACAGCTTTATAACAAGGTCTGTACCCTGTTTGCACAGTATTTTTAGTGTTTTAAATGTAGGTAAAGAATAATACTTGTTAAAGTCTGCCTGCCTTTGTGCTTTCCTTCCCTTTTAGCTTCCAGTACTTCTCCGTATCTCCCTCCTCTCCTGAAATCAGTACAAAACATATATTCTGTATCAAACGTGAAAAGTATTTCATTCTTATCCCAGCCAATAAATTTTGGCATGAAGTGACATTGTGAGCTAAAAAACAACTGCAAAGGCTTCATGTTTGTTACGTTTATTTCTCCTTTCAACATTTTATGCAGCCTTCCAAAAGCATTTTCATGTTTTTAAAGCTCAGGAGGTTGGGAGATTAATGTTTTGTAAATGTTTGTAGAATTTTTTTAACTTTAGAGTGATTTCTTCCTGAGTAAGCTACATTAAGCCTCTTATGTCCGAGTACCTCTTCACCACCATTCTTATGCAGTAGCTTTATCCATTTCTTTGTTTTCTATTGTGCTTTGTCACAGTATTAATACACAGGTGTTTTCTTATGCATCTGCTTGGAGATGTTGACTGACAAATATTTAGAATTGAGGAAAAAGACCCAACACCCTCCACTGGTTAAATCTTTGAGTGCAGGTGTTTAATATTGAACTAGTTATCAGAAGCTAAGCAACAAGCTTTAGGCAAAGCTTAAATGTTGCAGAATTTCAGTCATTTTTTTTCAGCTGGTCTTGGCAGTGAAGATTTTATATTTGGAAAGAAGTTTGGTGGGGTTTTTTTGATGATATAATAAGGATTTTTCCTTTTCTTTGAAGGGCTATTTTGGAAAAGGTATCCTTTCAAGAAGTCGACCAGTGTACAGTATTTCAGATCCTTCAGTGGTTACTAAGTGGCAAGGTAAATTGTGCCTGTTTGTACTTCCATCAGTATTCTAATAGTCCTTTTCACTTCACTCATTGAAGATATATGTTTGTAAATTACACAGAGGGGAAAAAAAAATCTCTCTACTGGGTCAGATCAAGGGTCTCACTCCCTCCATAACTTGTCTCTGGTGATGGCCAGTACCATCTGCCTGGGATAAATACAAGAACAGGAAACATATGCAGATAGCTCCTTAGTGCGTTCCCCTAGCCTTCACCGATTTTTTGCTTAGGAGGTCTGTAAGTAAAGTTATCATCCTTGGGCTTTTCTTCATATAACTGTCTTGATTATAAGCTGTAGATTTTAGTATCCATGAAATCATAAGGCAAGGATATGTGAAATTTTTAATCTGCTTATTGCTAATTACATCTGGTCTGCTCTTGGCTGTTTATAGAAAGACTGTCATTCTTTAGTCATCTTTTCCCTGACAGTTAAGTCTCATATTCCTCCGTAATTGTCGTCTTATGGGCTGGCGAAACATAGTGTATTTAATTGTTCTTCTTGTGCAGGCTGTTACCTCTGTACCTTTTCTAGTTCTGCTGTGTCCTTCGTGAATACAAGTGGGACCAAAATGGCGCAGAATATTGAAAATGGGGGTGGTTACTCAGCTGCAGATTACCTCAGTGATCAAAAACACGTGAACACATTTTTATATTGATGAAACAATGTATGATTTTTCTTTATGCAGGTGCTAATGTAAACATGCCTATAATTACATCGAAAAAGTAAGTTATTTGCATTAATTTGTTCTTTTTTTTTTTTATGAAACAGATTCTTCTATTTTATATTTTATTTTACTGGTTTGCAGATTTTTGGCTGTATAAATGCTGATGATTTGCTTCTATTTCTTCTCTTTGTATTTACCTTATAAATCACATTGGGAAAACTATAAATAGGTGATACTCAGCATGGTTTTTCATGTAAGCTTGCAGGTATTAATTGCTGAATAGAAGCCAAGATTGAGTGCATGCATAGTAGTATGGGTAATTAATTCATAATAATATCAAGCATAATAAACTTGTCTCTCAGCTGAGGAGGAGAAAGAGGAGTTTCTGGGGCGGGCAATTTAAAATAACTCTTCCATTTCCTTATTGAATTATTATCATGTGGGCTGAAGCAGCTCTTGAGCTTGTATAATACATAAATGTTTTACTACTTTTTTTTCATAGTCTTTATTAACATTTGTTTGTACATTTAGAAAAACAGAGTATGGACCACATTTATTTTGTTCCACTTAAATAGTATACAAGCTAACTGTAAGAGTGTGCAAGTTAGTTGCTCTGTTTGCTTGAATCTTACGGTAACTCTAAAAATTTTACTTTATTTAAATTTAAAAGTTATGTTTCTTCAGTGCTCAACTTTAGGTAAGACAAACAGTAGCAATATTACTTCTGCTGCTACTACAGTTGTTACTACTTGCAGAAGCACTTGTCATTATTAGTCTCCTTTGTGACTGCTTTATGTGCCAGGAAGTACAGCTGAGCATCAATGAAAGTGTCGTTACATTGGTGCAGGAAGGTGCATCACGATCTGTAAGTGCAAATTACATGGTAATCAAGTCATAGGACAAAGAGGAGTCCATTTTTTGTGACAAAAACTACAGCACTGAATTACATAGTTTTATTATGAGACTTCAGAGGGACTCGTATTTTGTGTTGACAGATGAAATCTATGTTTAATTGTCTTTGTAGTTCTTCATTACCTGGTCTGTAATTGCTGTGTTAGGATTTTGTTTTGGGAAGTAGAGGATATTGTAGTCCAGGTTTGAATAAGGGTGGCTGCACTTAGCTACCTGTAACTTTCATAGAAGGAATATTAATGTCTGCAATTGCATATTAATGTTGTCTTCCAAGGAGAAATAATTGAAGGGGCACTAAAAACTCTTATCATAATTGAAAAACATTAGAAATTTTTACAGCTTTCAGCTAATATCTCACTGATAGGATTGTTGTTCTTTCTCAAGGATGTGTGGGTTTTGGTTAAAACTGAAGGTTGTTTCTGCTGAAGATTTTTAAGCTGGTGTTTTTGCTATGCCATTGCTGTTTCAAAGCTAGTTAAAACAGAGTTTTGAAGATACTGTTCTCAGTAGGTGGCTGTGTAATAGATGAAGCGTGTGAGCGCTCTATATGCAAAGTCTTGTTGCATATTTTAGTCATGCAAGCTCTGCTACCAAGATGTTTTTGCAGTGAATTCAGGCTTAAGGCTTCGGTGAGAGAAGGAAATTTTTGCCTGCTTCTTGAAACTGTATAGCAGTATTCCTCAATGCATGGTTCTTGTGCAACATTTGGTAATAGTGTTTGTTGCCTCAGAAATTTGAAAGGCAAAACGAAGCCAAAGAAGGTAGCAGAATCTTGATGTTCAGTAATGTCGTCTGCAGCTTCCTGAAGACTGGAGTCCTGTTACATGCTGCATGTTGTATTTTGCGTAGCAGTGAATTGGAGTGTGTGTTCAGATTTGTTTTGTGACCTGTGTTGAATCTGCTTTTTTCAAGATGCTTATTTTTAAGGTCTTAAGTAATGGATGTAACACATTAGAACTTCTCATTTATTTTACTTGTTTACTAGGTACCAGTGTCATGTTCAGTGGGCGAAAAGTATTTTGCAAGAGCAAGGATTTGATGACTGCTCAGTTACCAAAATTCTTGAAAATTACACTAAGCCTCTTGAGCTGCCATTCTTGGAAGAGGATGGAGCCGAACAAACTCCAAATATTTGTAACAGAATGGGCCCAAATACAGAACTTTCCAGACAATCTTCTGCAGATACTGGAAATGTAGCAGCCCCAAGTCCTGAGAATCAGAATGAAGGCTACAAGAAAGCTTGTTTGGAAGGAGATCCAGCGTTTGATCCTGCGGCTGTATGTGGCTCTAAAGAACATGAACTAGGTGTCTTGAAAGACGTAGCTGAAGTGTCTTGCCAGAAGCATGGTCGTCTTGTGCACTGTGGCTGCAAGGAGAAGGAGAGCAATGAGCAAAGATCTTGTGACATGATCAAGTTGAAAGAATGTGCTCCAGAATACGTATTGGTGCAAGAGGAAGAAGATGGTAGCTTATGTCCTGAAGATGATTCTGCTCACGTGCAAGAAAATGTAAGGATAAAGAGTATCCTAATACTTTAGAAAAATATCATCAGTCCTATTCTCAGGATTCAGTATTTTTTCCAGTTTAAACTTATAGTAATATAGTAATTTTTTCTTGTAGCTTGTCAAGAATGAAAAACTAGTATGCAGAAGAAATCCATTTAGGATTTTTGAATATTTACAACTCAGCTTGGAAGAGGTAAGTTTCAAGTGCAATATAAGTTGTTTTACTTTTCACAAGCTCGAGGCATGGGCCCATGTGAACCTCCTGAGGTACAACAAGGCTAAGTTCAAGGTCCTGCACCTGGGTCGGGGCAACCCCTGGTATCAGTACAGGGTGAAGGGATGGAGAGCAGCCCTGCTGAGAAGGACTTGGGGGTACTGGGGGATGAAAAGCTGGACAGGAGCCAGCAGTGTGCACTCGTAGCCTGGAAGGCCAACCGTGTCCTGGGCCGCATCCAAAGCCGCGTGGCCAGCAGGGCGAGGGAGGGGATTCTGCCCCTCTGGGGAGACCCCCCTGCAGTGCTGTGTCCAGCTCTGGAGCCCTCGGCACAGGAGAGACACGGACCTGTTGGAGCGGGGCCAGAGGAGGCCCCAGCAATGCTCCGAGGGCTGGAACAGCTCTGCTGGGACGACAGGCTGGGGGAGCTGGGGGGTTCAGCCTGGAGAAGAGAAGGCTCTAGGGAGACCTTATTGTAGCCAGCCAGGTCTGAAAGGGGGCTTACAGGAGAGATGAGGAAAGACTTTTTAGCAGGACCTGTAGCGATAGGACAAGCGGCAATGGTTTTAAATTCAAAGAGGGTGGATTTAGACTAGACATAAGAAATTTTTCATAATGAGGGTGGTGAAGCACTGGCCCAGGTTGCCCAGAGAGGTGGTCGATGCCCCATCCCTGGAAGCATCCCAGGTCAGGCTGGACGGGGCTCTGAGCAACCTGATCTAGTTGAAGATGTCCCTGCTCAGTGCAGGGGCGTTGGACTAGATCGCCTTGAAAGGTCCCTTCCAACCCAAACTATTCCATGATTCTATGATTAATCTGAAAAGTAAACATTAATTTATGTTACAACATAATTTAATACCTGTTTCTGAAGTACAGAGTTCTCCTGTGTCTTGTAAGTAGTTGGATTGCTTAGTCATTAAACTTACTTTTAATAACCTGTGATAATTACGTGATATGGTAAAAAAAAAAAAAGTAGGGTTGAATCCCATTTGCTTTAGATGAATAATCCCACTGAGAGAGACCAGTGGTAGGACTTAAGTATAGAAATACCAAGAATATAACATTTGTATAAATCCTGCTTCGATTGTGATGCTTCTAAATATGTTCACGTTAGTTTTAACACGGTGCCTTCAGGAGTCTACAGCACATGCATAGATTTTTTTTTTTTTAGTGCTGCGCCTGTTGAAATGTAAGGGTCATGAAGACAAAAGGAAAGTTTCAAAGGAAACTTTCAGGCAGCTTGTTTGTCTTTATGACATTAGAATTTGTGTATAAAATTAATTTGAGACTGTTCTTGCATGGAATATAAACTACAGGAAGAGCCAGCTCTCAGTTAAACTTACTCTGTTTGTTTATTTCAGGCTTTTTTCTTGGTGTATGCTCTGGGATGCTTAAGTATTTATTATGGTGAGGTAAGAGATTGGATTAATTTTGGATTTCTGGGAATGCCATTAATTTGGATACAATACGTCTGGAAATTTTTAGCTGCTGTGGCAGTAAGTTTTGCTGCTAATTCTGAAGGAGGAAACACCAAACAGAGTAATTAGGAAGTATTTCCTATAAGTAATGATATTTCTGTTTATGAAATAATGGTCTGAAAGCTTTATGTTTACCAAGGCAAATACAGCTAAGCACAGCCTTTCTGTAGAGAAAGGTTTTTGTTGTAACTTGGGCAGGAAGCATGGGGAAAGCAAGTATGGCAGCAATAACATGGTGAATTCTCTTTCCTGAAACAGGAAAATTCCTTGGAGTTTTAAGCATTAATCTAGAAGTACATCAAGCTACTGTTAATGTAATGACAAAATAATTGAAACCTATGCTTCTAGTTTAAGATTTATCAGATTTTCCTTTAAACAAGGGCATTATGGGACTGATTATGAAATGCTAAGAAAACCCACTAAATGGAGCAACAGGTTTCTGTCTTATATTTAGGGATTCTGTAGTTTGTTGCCTGAAGTCCATGGTCTTTGCAGGAGACTGTGATATTTGATATTTGGCTGTTTACGCTCTACTACACACAGGATTCTGTATCTGATGGAATATTAATATAGTCATGTTAATGCCTTTGGTTGTGATTTTTAGGAGCCCCTAACTATTCTGAAGCTATGGGAAGTTTTCAGTGAAGTGAAGCCCAACTTTAAAACTACTTACATGGCGTATCACTACTTCCGCAGTAAGGGTTGGGTCCCCAAAGTTGGCCTGAAGTATGGAACTGATCTCTGTGAGTAGCTTCCTTAAAAAAATGGAATCATTTATAACTGAGTTCTTTTCAGGCACTGCGGGACTCCAGTGCCAGAGATGAATTTCATAATGAGGAGCTGCATGACTGGAGCAGGCTTTGCTACTTGCAGTTGGCAAAAGACATTTTTGGCTAGAGTACGGGTTAGCAATAAAGTTAGGGTGAGTGGAGTATAACATCACATATCCAGTAGCTAAGGGGATAGCTTGAAAGGCCTGTTGTTTTGCTTCATGAGGTTAATAATTAATACAGGATTGCACTGAAATTCCGTTCCCAAGTTTCTCTATCCCCTTTGAAACACATCTTCTGTGGTATTAACGTGACAGTCTCTGGAATAGCAGGTTTGCATCTAGATCCTAATTCACACCAAAGTCCATTCATCCCATTTAATGGAAGCTGGACTTCCGCTGAGGTTACTGCTAAGGCTGTTCCGCTGAATGGGGTTTTTTTTTGTGGGGGAGGAGGGAGAAGGGACTTGGTTTTGTTAGTGGTAGGGTTTTTAATCTTACAGAAAAAAATGGGTAATGTCCATAATCCCTTGCTAAATATTTCAAGAACTGCATTCAGCTCTTGTCAACATAAACAGTACAGTCATGCCTGTCATTACAGGAAACGTGCATGAAGGGAGATATTTTTAACATATGCATGCAAACCAGCAAGTGCTGAAGCAGTTTTATAATTTTATAAGCTGCTGAATTCATATAGCAGCTTTGCGTATTTGACTCTGGTGAGGTTGTGCCGAGCTAGTCCTTTAGATCAGCATGTAGGTTTGGCTGAATTCAGCATCACTGTTCTTAGTATTCTGGGCTGTAGATGGGGCCTTGATTCTGATCACCTGATGTATATGTGAAACTGGTATTAGTTTGTTCACCGTTCATTTGTGTTCTGGCCCGAATGTGTTGTTGAGCATATCGCCGCCTTTGGATTTGTGCCAGACAAAGGAAGTGGATTAGTTTAAGGCTAGTAGGAGTTGTGCCTCACTCCTGAGCTCCTCTAGCTTCTTGTTCTTTGGCAGTACCTTCTTAGAATTGGTATTACTACAATCGCTTATAGTAGGTAATTTGCAAAGCATGGCTGTCACCGGAATGAAGTGCTGCTCGTCCTTTTCCTGACAGGGTCTATGCTAGCCAGCTGTATAAGAAAACCTGCGCTAGTTAAAGTCCCCTCTTACAAGCTCACAACAAAGGGAAGAGAGGAAATGTAACCATTTAGCTCGGTTACAGAAGTCCACTGCAATGAGTCTTGTGTACCCTTGAGTAGGGTAGAAACTTTTAGTGGGACTGGAAGGCAGTACATCACAACTTGTGCCCTTTGCCTGTCCTAAAACTTGTGAAACATCCTGGCTTGGAACAAAAACTCAATGGCTTATTGTGATCTTCTCCTTGTACTCCAGTGGCTCAACTTCTGTTGCGAATACAGCATTAAAAGCATGAGTCTGCTGCAGAAAAATTCCATCCTAAGCTTTTTCCCATAGCAATTGCTAACTGTCCTTTGGCTCTTCTACTTTATCTTTTACCTGCCACACCCTTGCCCTGAGTCACCCTGCTGCTCCCGTGATTTTTCTGTCTCTTCCCTCTCTCTCCACTTGCTGAGACAACTTAATCCTGAGCAGAATTCGAAAGTGTTGAAGTTCTGTCTTGTGTAATTAAACTTTACAAAACATTTGAAAATATTTATGTACCCTGGTATTAAACTCTGTGATTATCTAATTAAGGTGTTTCTCTCTCGTTTCAGTGCTGTATCGAAAAGGCCCCCCCTTCTATCATGCAAGGTTTGAAGCTCATGTTTCTGTCTAATTTCTTATTTTCATATTAGTAAATTTCTGTCACACAAATTTAGTATCTTTACTGGTTAAGCATACGTTCTTCACTTAACACACTTTGCCAGATGCATTCATACTGGGAATGCAAAAGCCCTTTTAGCAGAGGTACTAAGTAACACAATTTCACTGAATTCATATAACAGTAGTGAGTCATTAAAAATTAAAAGTTGCAATGAGCATATTTAGCACTGATATGATGAATGCACTCAGGAAAGTAATTTGATTTAATAATACTGACTTTTAAAAAAACATGGCATGGGTAACAGGTAATTTGGGAGAAAAATATTTTAAGGGAAGATAATTGTCTTTATTCATTAGCTAGTCAGGTTGGACTCCTAGATAATGAATTAATTATAAATGTCAGATTGGGATTCATAACAGAATGCTACAGACATCAGCAGAAGGGTGGGGAGGGTGCGTGCCAGTAAGCATATTCCCAATTTCATCTTTTCTCCTCTTTTCCTAGTAGAAAGACACTTAAGTTTTACAACTTCTTTACTGCATGTTGGCATACTGTTTAACACCGATTTTTAAGCTCTAATTCTTAAGTTTCACAATCTTCCTAAAGTGGTAATTTTCTTTCTGTGAATTGTCCTATCTATCTGCCTTGTTTTCCAGTTACTCTGTCATTGCTGAATTAGTTGATGGTAATTTTGAAGGTTCTCTTCGCAGACCACTCAGCTGGAAGTCCTTGGCTGGGTTGAACAGGACAACTGTTAATGCTTCGAAGGTAAGAGTGAGGTGCTAGTTTTAAAATAGCTCTAAAATGATAAATGTACAGTTTAGTTCCAAAGAACAGGGAGTCAGAGTGAGGCTGGAAAGTGAATCCTTCTCTTCCTAGTCTGCTGAAGAGTGTGTTGAGCTGCCAGTAGGCAAACAAGAGTTTCCTTTGTCAATATCCAGAGGATTTCTGGAAGAAGCTTATTAAAGTTCTGTCACCTGTAGGAACTCTGGAAGTTGTGTGAGGAACAGAAGACTGACCTGAGGGACACATCTTTCCTGCTTGCTGCTTCTGTTTTTAAAGCCCTCTACATCTACCAGGATTTTCTTTTAAACAGAAATTTCCCAAAATATTTTCTCTGTGATAGAGCCTCATACATAGTGCTTCCATACTCACAGGTGCTATGTTATAACTCTAGTTATCTTATAGCAGGACTATGCTTTGGTAAGAAAATGAGATACGTGTATTATACAGCTCTCCCCTAACTTGGTGTGCAGAAGACATCTTGTAGGAAACTTGGTATCTGCATTCCTAATTAATCTAAAACTTGTATAGCAAGAATCAGTTGAAGTTCACGTTTTCTGTTTATCAACAGGAACTTATGCTATGCTATTTGATTAGACCATCTGATATGACTGAAAAAGAGATGTCGACACCGGAATGCATGAAACGAATTAAGGTTCAGGTGAGGAATTACTTCTCTCCTTTGCCTGTGTAGCTTTACTTTGGGGCAGCTGGACAGCTGATTCTAAGAGGCCCCCTTGAACTGTCCCTTGCTCTTTAGCGTGCTTTGTTTTTTTTGCACACATAGCTGCAATAAAATAAACTAGATTCCTTTGTGCCTTAAGGCATGAGAAGTGCGTTACAGGCTGTTTAAAGACCTAACATCTTCTAAATTTTAATGTTGCTGCCACTGTGAATGTAAGCATTTGCATGGGGAAACAGGGGTACCTATGATGACTGTAAGGTTAATGTATATTTAAAAACAAAGGGAGAAGAATGTGTTGAGATACCAGCTCGCTTCAGGAACGAATGTAGTCTTCTAGAATTTCTCAGTGGTCCCATAATATACATCAATTTGCTGAAGGCTTAATCCCCAGCCCTCACTGATTACCTGTAGCTGCCTGCCTCTTCCATAATAGTTGCTGTTTTTTATTTCAGGAACTGATTGTAACTCGTTGGGTTTCTTCCCGTGAGCGTAGTGAGCAAGATGAACTTTGACCGTATAGGAAAAACTTACTTTTTTTTAAAGCCACATCTTGTTGTTTTTCACTTGATCTTCTCATGATGAACCACTGCCTCAGAACAGTTTCTATCAACATACTCACTTGGTATGTATAAATGCTATCTAAAATGAGGTATATCCTGTTTACTGGAGAGAATGTTGTGTTGAAAAACATAACTATAATAATGCATATGAAGGGGAAAAAATAAAGCTGTGTCTCAACTCAAAATACTTGTTTGTTTCCTTTAAACTTAAACGTCGGTCATTGAGTGGTGGCTAGACTGCAGTGATTAGTAATGGCATCTTTAGTATTACGACAGATCCAGGCATTAGTCCTAAATAGGCACTATGGCCTGCAGAACCATTGAGTCACTAAAACTAGTTAAACTACCTAGTTAAAACTAGTTAAAAGCCAGCAGTAATTATAGTGGATCAAATAGCCTTTTGGGATACCTGTGGTACCATTCTTCTTCAACCAAAACCTGACTTCGTAGCCTCAATAAAGTTGTACAAACTTAGATTTGGGGAGAGATGTGGTTGTTGCAATATTGAGCATTGTAACACGTTGCTGTTAGGTGCCTTGACTCTGGAATTCAGTGGTCCTAACTAAAAGTGCTTATTTTCATAAGCGCTGCTCAGAATTGAGGAACTCTTCCCAGGATGTGCAGAGATTTAAATTAGTTCTGGGGTCTAAGCACCTCACAGCAATGTTAGGTGTTAGGCAGTAGGGAATGCCAGGGCAGCTTTCCCCATTTTGGTGAGATGTCTTATGCTGCAAATCCCAAGTGAAGTAAGATTCCTCCTTGAAAGTAAGGGCCTAATCTTGCCCCATGACCACAAGATGCCCTGAGCACAAGTTGATGCCCTTTACTTCTGTTGAAGATGGGTTAGTGTGTAGAAAATAATGAAGATTTGCTGAGCCAGTGAGAGGCAGTCACTCTTTCTAGCTTGGCAAGTGTAAGTCTCAGTTTCATCGCAGCTTTTGTCTTTTTTATCTAGCAACTACAACAGTCTATGTATTTTTCTTCATAGCGGACTTGTAGCTCTTTGTCCTGGCCTGTCTTGCGTTGTAAAACAGACGGGGAGACACTGCTGCGTTTTGTATGGAGTGAGGCATAGGGCAGCGCTGAGCAGTTCTGCCTTGCTACGCTACGTGCCTGCTATCTTCTAACCTTTTTGTAAGATTTAATCGTCTAGATTGCAGGTTCCTAAATACGATGTTTGCTATTGCAAAGCCACGCTTGAGAAACAAACCAACCAACCCAGCAGGTATTCAGCTGTCTTTCAAGTAGAGCCAGGAGGTTTAAGTATCAACGACGCTGCATTTTAAGTATTGCTGCTTTAGATTCAGGCATTTGAATTCCATCTTAGTCTTTCAACAACAGGCTTCCTTGCTTCACCATGCTGTTAAGGTTGGGGGTTTTTCCCCACCCCCCCCGTGTTGTGAGAGAACACCTTTGCTGCAGCAGTAAGGATACATTATAGCTGGCGACGACAACACTGGTTTGGATTTTCCTTGTGCTGTTTTCATTCACTATCAACAGGGGGTTGCCTCCTGGTTGCAGGACATTTTCTGGGGCTGGTAAAAATTCTGTCAATTCGAACTGTTCCCACCAAACACGAAACCCCAATGTTGTTTACTTAGGCAGTTTAGATTGTAAAGCCTGTCATAAATTCCCATCATGAATGCAGGAAAGTACATAAAACTCAAAAGTGGAAGATCTTCTACTCTTTGCTTTCATTTAATACAACTTCTTCTAAAAGCTGTAAAATGAAAATATTGATTGCATAATAGCTTTTGCAAGCCAAACAGCTATGTATGTGTTGGCCGTACGTGGCCAGATGTTTTATTTCTAGCTGCAGATGTCAGTACTGTTGTATCAAATAACTTACATTAGATAGTTGTACCATAGCACTGATACTTGCCATTGTATTTATGTTTTACCAATTAAAATACAGTACTTAAATGAAGTATGGATTCTGATTCACTCGGAAATAGCATACCACAATTTCTTTTTGTAAGCCAAATCCTAGCTGAAGAATTTTGACTTGCACTAGGAATGGGTGGATAGGAGGTCTCTAACAGCAGCTGAATTGCGCATTTCAAGCTGGTTGTCTCTACTGTGTCATGGTTTTTTTAATATTAATTTGGAATTTGGCAAGAAGTGGAAGAACGTGGAAGGAGGAAGTGTGTGAAGTGTGGTGTATGCAGCTGGAGAGTATGGGGTGGGCAGGGTTAATGCAGTTTGTGTATCCAAAAGTATAAACTACATGTGGATAAAACCCCAATCATTTATGGTTACTTCTCCATCTTTGAGAAAATACAACTTGCATCTAGACTAAAACCACCTTACTCTGCAGAAATTAGTAGAAGGAAAAAAAGCTGAAATTATTTTCTTAAACTAATTCTAAGTAAATAAAGTGAAATTGCACAAAATTATGGACTGCACAATTCTGACCTCAGCATACAATTCTGTGTACAATAGGTAAAAGTGCTGTCAGAGGATCTTTCTGATTTTTTTAACATAAATTTCTTTTTGTTAAATTCTAAAGTTTTAACTCAGATAAATCCTAAGGAGCCTGTTGCTTATTACACATACTAACAGACAGAGATACTAAATTATTATCTTTTAATACTAAGCATCTGTCTTGATTTGAGGAATAAATGTGTAAAATGTAAAGAAGAATTGGAAAAGAAATATATCTGGCAAAGAGGCTGGATTTACTTGTCATTATATTTATTAGTAATTAAAGGAAGATAACTTTGCATGTAGCGAGTCTGCATTACATTATCCACTTTGGATTTCAGCAGCGCACAAGCACAGACTCCCTTTTTTTCACTCATCAGTAAACAAATGTGACAGGAAAAAAAAAAAAACCAAAACATTTTGGTTTGCTACTGCTTCAGTTACCACAGTTCATTTGTTAAAACCCTTAATTACACAGCAGTTACGATTTCTGGTATTAAGTGTCTTGGCAGAACAGAGCATACAGTGAATGTTAATAGGAAAAATCTTTTCCGTATCAATAGTTCCCAGAGAAATTTTCTGTAGTGTGTACATTGTATGTATGTTATTTCATTCAAATGCACAAGTTCAGTTTCCTGATCCTTCCATGATGTGTAGGTTAATGTGTACAGTTAATTGTGTTTTTAAATACATTAAGTAGATCACGCATCTTAAACCCTGAGATTTGGAGTCTTAAGACTTCCTTTTCCTGTTGCATGTTGTAGATGTTTTAGTATAGCAACTTGACGTTTTCAGCACTGTTTTTCTTGATCGGGAAGGGGTACAATGTAGAAATCATTAGCTGTTAGCTCCTGATGCAGGGTAATGTATTTGGAAGCTTTCTTTGTCTGTGGGATCACAAATTTCTCTGTAAATTCACTTTTACTCATTTGCGGTTTTCCTTGTGCGGTCAGTACACTGTTAATGAAGGCCAGTGCATATGTGTAGCAGTTGTGGTCACGTTCTTCATACCTAGGAAAAGTATCTCGTTAGTAAGAGTTAGCACTAATCCATTAATAACTGCGCATGGAGGAATATTTTACTGAGTGAAATAAGGAAGCGCATGCTCTGCAGGAACTATCGCCACTTTCCTTTTAATGCCGGTGCTTAAATACATTCTGTTCACCACACGTTGTACTTTCCATCCAGGGGTATTAGAAACTGTGAGCATCAAAAAAAGGAGGGCTGCAGACTTTACAATAATGAGTTATTTTTTTAATACTAATTTGGCTTTTACCTTGTTAACCTTTGGTCTTCCATGTATTGTTACTCTGTTATCTTGAAAACTGCTTCCTGCAGCAGTAACGTTAATTGTGTGTCACCATGTGCCCTTCTTTCAGTATGGCATTAACTTGGAAGCTTACTTAAAATCAAGTAAATTCTATCACTAGTATGTTGATACAGTTGGTATATGGTGTGCCAGTCAAACTCGCTTTGGCAATAATTTGTGCCAACCGTGCAAGGACAGAAACACTAACCGAATAGGAGTAGCCGTTTAAACTGTTCTTGCCTTTTTTCTTTTTTCTCCCCACTACCCTAACGTAGGAGCTTATGGCACTTACCTGTTCTTCTGTCAGAATGTTTCTCAGATTCTCCCAAACGTTTCATGTTGGCCACTAACAACTTCAGTAATTTATTCCATTCCCTCACCAGATAGTGCTGCTTTTTCCACCGGCCCTGTGTAACTGCATTTGATATAGACCTGCTCAGACTCCCATTTGCCACCTGCCTAATCCTTGAGCTTCTTCTGTAATTCCCTCATCCTGTGTCGTTTTTCCCATGTTCTCCCTAGCCCTGTGACTCATTCCTTGCCTTGTACTGTCAGTGGCTCCATGGCCATGTGCAAGATTCCACAGGGAATCTTCTGTGAGCTTTGCCTCTCAGCCCTGGGAGCTTACAAGGTGTTTTTGCAAGATCCGAGGACTATGGGTATCAAAAGCAACCCTGCGACCCTGAGCCCAGTTCAGGAGGGCTCACATTCTTCTTCAAAGCTCTTCTGATTTGTTAAGGGTATCTGAAGTGACCTGCGAGCTCCCGTTTAGTAAGAAAGCTATTTGCTACAGTGTACTTACTTTACCAAAATAATTGTTAAAGAAAAATAACTTCAAGACTGTCATCATCACTGTGCAGTGCAAAACATCTGAAAATTACACTGAAAAAATGTTGGGTTCACCAGCTCAGGGCTGCGTCTGCGGAGTGCCACAGCATGTCTGGACCACTTCTGTGTACACAAGTGCTTTTCTAAATCAATTCCACTTTTCAATTTTGTTTGCAGACTATCTTTGTACTTATAATGCAGAAGACTGGAATACACTTCTCATTACCATCTGTGTCTTCCAGTTAGTTTCTGCTTTTTGGGAAGTGTCTTTATAATTTGACAAGCACACCCAGTATCCCTCAGTAATTTAAGGTATTGTTGGTCATGGCTGTAGCCGCTCTTCTTTGCTGCTGATATATACCATCCTTCCAGTAAATGAAAAGCAATCAAGAACATCAGAATTAGGCTTGGCCTGAACCCAAGGGAGTTACAGGATTAGTTTAGCACAGTTCCTGTCCATTGGAAAAATAGAGGAGTTAACTGAACTTTTTTTAAAGATGTTTTCGGCAGTCTAGTGGTCACTGGTCTGTCTGTGGAAAAAGCAGGTCGCTTTGTCAGGAGGTGGCAGACGGAGGAAAACCAAAGAAAAGCTCGTAGAAGCGATGCACACATCTATCCACCTTCTACCCGTGCTTTTTTGACACCGAGTTAATTTTAGTAATAATATTAAGGCACTGGGAGCTGTAAAAGTATCATAGAGAGACCCAAATCCTGTTGGCTTTACAAGTTCTGTAAACATTTAAAAATTCTATTGTAGGTCAAATTCTTTCATCTGGTGCTAGGGACGTAATACATTATCTCTGAAATTTTATAGTGAAGCACATACAGAATTGCTAAAAAATGCTTTTGATTTTTTTTCTTTCACATAAAATGACATTGACGTTCATTAACTTAAACACTTCACAGAACTATGCTCAGACAAGTTGTTTGTTACATGAACTGTTCCTCAGTAACAGTACAAGAACTGGTGTTTCTTGGAGAGCAGGCTCCTTTGTCATCAGCCGGCTTGGTGATGTGGCAGTGCATGTTTTAGCTGGGCTGTGTAACTTGTAACACTGTCATCAGGCATTAACTTCAAGGGAAGCTACAAAGAACTGAACGTTCTCATTGGAACATACTGGTTTAATTCAAAATATATGGAAGTCTTTCTGTATTTCACTATCCAAAGCAATGTTATGAACCAGCTGGAAGAGCTGGAAATGAGTCTGACCATGTTTCCCGTTTCTGATCACCAACAACAAAGTCGTCCATCTGGATGTAAGATCTGGGCAAGAATCCCATCAGTGTCCTCAGCCTGTAAGTGCAAATACACCTAAAACCGCTGAAACCTAGAAGAAATAATTATAGAATTGCGCCTGGACTTTTGTACTGTTGGTCTCAGCAGCACACTCCTAAAGGTAATATTTCATTCAACTGCTTTGTTTCACGCAGAATTCTTTTGTTGCTGAAGAAAACTTCCCAAAATGATCTCTTATGTTAGAGCTTTTACATTCCAGCGAATGAGTTTGTTACTTACAACTTTAAAATACTCTCTGTTTAGCAAGGCCCGTTAAGTTTCAAGATCGCCTGACAGCATTGTTTAGACTGGCTTGTTAGAAATGTGTGTTCTGAAGGAGCAAGGCTCTGAATGAACCAGAAGCCTCGCAGGATCCAAACTGGAATAGCCCAATTTATCACCCCAGACTAAAAACTCCTATCGCACCCAGCTTTTCAACTACATACCTGTGAGGAAGCCAGGCCTCTCCCCCAGAAAATTCCTCTAGGAGTGTATCCCACTGCTGAAGAAGCCCAAACATGTCTGGCTGTACTAGTGGGATACTAACGCACTGTTCCCATCCAGTTTCAGCTCTGTGAATGCCCTCTTCATTGTAATTATACACCACGCCTGAAAATAGAGTAACGGATTATCAGGTGGCACTGGAGAATCAGATTCATATTCATAGCTTTGCTTTTGTGTTTGATATTTTTTTTTTTTAAGCGATGAAGGTTACTACTAGTTTTCCATACTGCCATTCCTTCTTAGGCTATACCCTAGCTTCGCATCAGTGGCCTTCTGCGGCTACAGAGTAGAAAATGCAGTCCTTGCTTTTATCAAAAACCTATTCTCATTTTAGAAAGTAATTTTCAGATGTCTCTTGATCATGAAAGCAACTTAAGGACAACCAGGCTTCTTTTTTAAACCCACAAATTAGACAATTTTATATTAAATAAATATCTCAAGTGAGATTTTGCACGGTTGGGCCTACTCTAGGAGAACCTGACATGATTTTTAATGTGGCTTTTAAAAATGTTATTATTTTATTAGGGTTTTTTTTAGAATTAGAAAAAAAATCTGTTTATGTCAAAACTTCCGGAAACTTCTTTAAAAAAGTAGGCTGCCTAGCTTTTCATTTCCCTGTGTCAGGAAATAGAAGTCACCTGTCGATTCCATTCTGTGCAGCTCCTCAGCACGAGAGGAGAGATCTATGGCTTTGATTTCAAGCTCTGTGTGCTCACTGCTGCAAGGCGAGAGAAATTCTTGGACTCAAGTTTTTTTGACCTTTATGTGAAACTCTTTTGTAGGTGAACAGCTAAGTTCCTGATTCGGATACCTTCCTCAGGGGAAGCATGCAATCTTCAACAGCAAAGCATCGGTTATCTGGACGTTGCAGCCCGCATTTTTAACAGGTACCAGATCTTGCTGCAACAGTAGAGGTGGCTCTGAAGTGTCACAAAATTTGGGTCACCATTGGCGGAGGGGCCAAAGCTGAACTGGGCGTGCAGTCTAAATACAAGGTCTGGGAGACAGGCAGTAGTTTCTAAGGCAACTGCAAAATACTTTTTACCATTACTGTTGGTTATTCCAACGTGAAGGTCAGATTTCCCATCATAGCCTCTGAAAGAAAAAGAGCCGTGTTGGCGATGGCTGTGAGCATGGCTTGTCCCCCTTAGAAACGTCCTGGCACCATCTCTTTCGCAGAGCAGGTGCCACTTGTCACGCTACTTGGACCCAAGATGTGGAGCTGGAAGCATAACTCGACTGAAAACCTGGAAGAGGCATTTTCATTTCCAGAAGGGGGGTTGATCAGGGCTTACCCAAAGGTCAGCCAGTCACGGCTTGCCCGGGGCAGGGCGGGGTAAAGGCCCGCGGCAGAGCGGTGCTGCGGGGCCTACAACCACCAGTCCCGCAACCTGAAAACCTGTGACGACAGGGCCAGAGCTGCCTTCTCCC